GCAGGTTGCCGACCCCTGGACTAGACATTTGATTCAGATGTGCTGACCCAGGGTGATATCTAAAACCTGCAGGACACTGGCCCTCTCTCGAGGCCTGGAGTTCCCTACCCCTGGTGTGGGGAATACTTTCTTTGCACACTGTAGGCCCCTTAATACCAACTGAACATTGTTTAACTGTATCACTGTATACCTGATTATTCTTGCTGACCAAGTCCTTTCCTTTATAACCACAGTGTACACATCTTCTGATAGCTGCTTCCAGCACGATAAGCTGGATTCTAACTGTTTGATGCTATCATGTCAATATGGAGCAAAACCTGTGAAGAACTGCTTCCAGCACTTTATGTCGAATGCTTCCAACCCAGTATTAGCAGTAGCATGTAACGAGACATAGTCGTCATGCTCCAAATTATGTTAAATAGGCCATTTGTTTGAAATGACTTGTTTGAAATTATTTTCTGAATGGATGCTAATACATTAGTAAGTATTGAAGGGATAATTACAGTGTATTCCATCATGCTGCACTTCTCATTGATATAGTTAGTGTGGTTCTATTGGTCATGCCAGCTTTTTACTGGGGCCTCTTGTGTAGCAAGTTGCTGATTGCCCTATTCCTCTGCAGACAATGGGGAGAGAACATTTTATAAGATTTTTAAGACTTCAAAGCAAGAAAAACATACAACTTACAAAGCACCACTGAAGAGTTTTTTCCAAACAGCAAGAGCGCCTTTTAAAGTTTGGATGCTGAGACATATGTGTAGTGCAGCACATTATGCCTGCGCCCCCGTGCCCTCTCGTCCCCATCAAAGGTCGCAGGGTCTGCTGCTTTTAAGGGAAGATTGCTGTTGTTTTCAAAGCTGACACAATTCACTGAAATCCAGCACACTCGTTCTAACGGCGCTCTGATCGCAGAACATCATCAAATCCATTTTAAATTTGTGTTGCGTCCACTGTTTTTTAATTTTTTTTATTGCTTTTCTCTCACTCACCCTCACATAAATCACACCCAAACACTCCCATTCAAACAGTGAAAAACATCCTTCAAAGCTTTGAAGCCCCGTTTCCCTCGCAGCAGTTGCGGCTTAATGTAGGTTGCTTGGAAACAACCCAGAATTTGGCACCTAATTGGAGCGTGCGTGTGCTCCATTCAGCGGGCAGGCGGCTGGCGACTCTGTTGTGCAAACTCAGGATAATTAGACAAAGTGAATTCTAGATCACATCTGGCCCAGTGGAGGGAGAATAAGCAGCAGAGGGCCTATTGGATCATGTGGAGTGTTGACCGCTGAAGGCCTCGGAGATTTAATGGCTC